CAGGATTAGGAGCACGCTTCAGGATTAGGAGCACGCTTCAGGGTCACCGCCACCCCCCCCCCCCGGGAATTAGGTCCCTGTGTGAAAAAACAAGCACGTGTCATCAATCTCCCAGATGAAGACGGGGGACCTGAACAAACTCAGACGCTAAATTAAAGAACCAGTCCAGTTCCGGTCGGGAGGAGGATACTTTCCAGGATGCTAATGGTTTTTGGAATTCAGTTTGACTCTTCGGCGCTCACAGAGATCGTCCTGGGCTTCCTGGCAGGACTCACAGACAGAACAACGACCTCAGGTTCTCCGTTCTGGTCGAGTGACCCCGGAAATGGGGGTCTTCACCGTCTGCCGGCAGCAGACCTGCACCCACTATAAGCTGGTCAGCGGCTGCCTTTTTGACCTTGATGCACTCAGACTCCTGCAGCGGGTAACAGGGCCCTGAGACATGGCACAGACTCGGTACGGCCACACTCCACCCCCCATACATTAGAAGCTTCCAGAAAAGGCAAGAAGTGGGGCAAGGATCTAAGCAGGCCAACAACCAGGGCAGGTGGTAGTAACCAGGATCCAGACACAACCCAGCACCAAATAGGCAAGAAGAAAAAAAATCAGCTCAGCAGAAAAAGATACAGAAACTCATCCTCCTAATCTCTACTGCTCACTCGCCAAGGCGCCGGTGCAGATCATCAGAATGTGCTTTTTTTATTTATTTACTTTTAAATAAAGTTCTTCAAACTGTCAAAGTAATGTACACCAGTGCCACTGAGAATTATACTGAAAGTACAAGTAATACTGTACGAGACAAGCAGTCAGGAACGATCTACTTCAGCGGGATAACACGAGCCAGTACATGTACTACTTTAATAACCCGCTTATATGTGTCAGCTACACGAAAAATAGATTGAGAATAAGGATAAGAACGGAATAAATCTACTTTTAGCTACCAGTTAGCAAGGGGGGAGAAAAATATACCTGTCATGAAGGGGAATCGGACTTGTAAATAAATGCTAACGTTCGATTTGAAACGATGGGAGTCTCTGCTTCAGGTGGGATAAACAAACGATGATAGGGGCCTGTTATTCATCAGGACGAATGCTTGAGCCATAGGCTGGTTGGGGGGGGGGCTTGGATGGTGCCTGAGATGTGGGCCCCAGACGGCACAAGTCAGACGAATCAGACAGAGCTCAGAGGAGGCTGGTTCTGTCTGCGTCTCCGACATGCTCTTTCTGGCCCGAACACCTCAAACCGCCCCCAGCTGGACCAGACATTCGCTTTGTAAACAGCACAGGTGGAGGTTGACAGCCTCCACTAAACCAGCCTTCTGTCAAACTCATTGGATTACCGTGCTGTTCCTCTCCCCGGAGTCACAGTCAGGACCAAATATGAGCCCCTGCAGACTTAAAATAAGGTAAGAGCACCACCTAGCTTTGAACGGGGAGAAGAGGAGGGGGAAGCAAAGACAAATGATGTCGTCTCTACGGAGCAGAGACACGTCTACAACGAATCCCGCCTCCAAGCTGGCACGGCTGAATGGGTCCATTCCTCTCCTTTAAGACCGTATAATATACTACACCACAGTAGGCATGATGAACGAGCAGGCATTAGGCAGGACTGTCTGGACACGTTAATGAGCTGCGGTCAGCGTCCGACAGAACCCGGGTCGGCCCAGAGCCCCACATCGTATGCCTGAAGGAGACAGCTACCCTCCCGGCCCCAACCGAACTATTACGTGCTTAGAAGTATTAGAAGAATTAAGTTACGAATGAGGATATTTAACGGCTATTTTGACTGCCGTGTAACTGAATAGCTGAGCAGTCACTAGAGAAACCGGAGGAGAGAAATGAGTAACTATGCTAACCAATCACAGGGGTTCAACTACACATGCAGAATATGCACAATTTTTCTAATTCATGTATTCCTGAGTAGAGTACGTGTAACTATCCACAAGTGTTACTTATAACCCAGAAATAAAACTTGGATTTTATTAATTTGACAAAATTGAATTCTAGTAAGCAAGAGAGAGAGAGAGAGACAAAGGGACAAAGAAAGAGAGAGATGGAAAGGGAAAACAAAAAGAAAGAGAGAGATGGAGACAAACAAAGGAACAAAGAGACAGAGATGGCGAGAGAGAGAAACAAAAAGAAACCGAGAGAGAGAGAGAGAGAGAGAGAGAGAGAGAGGGGGGGGGGGGGGTCCAGGCAGCTGACGTGCTGAAGTTCCTCATCCCTCCTCTGTTCACACCTTGTCCCAAGGCCCAGCTAAGCCCACCAGTCCAGGCCATGCCTGTGTCCCATCTGGATGACAGCTGAGATCCTCTCATCTGCACACTGGCAGCCCACACCCCCCATCCCCCACCCCCCACCCCAAGAACAAACTCAGCACCTCTCAGGAAAAAAAAAAATTCAGTGGCATTTCTTCCCACTTGTCCGAGATTGTTATTTTTCAACTCCGTTTACAGGGTTAAATAATCCACATCCCCATATAGGTGCACCATAGTAACTCCACACCAGGCCCCCAGCAGGAAGACGTTGTAGGCTTTTATCAAACATAACATATTCCAACTGTTTTGATGACCTCTATTTTTTAAGTCATATGGGACATGAAATTACCCAAGAAAATGGAGCAAAAATCATTTGGGGGTCCTTACGTCTTAACTTCGGGTGTCTGAGACGAACGCCTGAAAAGTGCTGGGATTTCCGAGCTCTTTACATGCTTATAGGGTCAAATAAAAAGCTGAAGTCTGTGCAAACAAGTCAACAGAGAGAAAGTTTTGCTTTGAAATGGGAGGACAGGATATCATCTTTTTTTGCCGCTTCACTTCCCGTCTGAGGGAAAAAAACACGATAGCACTGGACACGAGGCTTCGGCTGGACCTCTCGCTTCCGGAGCTTTCCCCGAGTAAACAGGGGTTCACGTTTTTATGTCCCGACTGAATGACAAAGCAGTGACGCCCCCAGGAACACTTAAAGCCACAGGTGTACGCCTCCCCTTCAGTGTCGGTTACCGACGGCTACACCAGATCTGAGCAGAGGGCATATGTTTCGCTCATTAGCACCAGACGGAAGAGTGCTAAAGCTATCGCATGCGTCGATCCCCGCATCTTTGTGGGACTGGCACTTTTAATGCCGCCGTTTCAGATGCCATGAACAAAGAGGGGCTTGTATGAAGCGCCCAAGATGGGAGAAATGGAAAGAGAGAGAGGGAGGGAGAGAAAGAGGACAGAAAGGGCCAGGTGTAGAAGCGCCGGGATCCTGCCTGGTCACATCTAGAATACCATAGCAGCCAGAACCTGGAACAAAGTGGAATGAGAAGGGCGGAGATGTTTACCTTGACCAGCGCCTGGAGGCTCTTCTCCCCGAACATGTCCTGCAGGAAGGCACAGTCTGCTTGGCTGTCCACATGCGGCTTGAGCTGTGAGGGGAGGGTGGCCAGCAGCTCAAACAGACCTGGAGGGGTGGAAACACAGTTTGGTGGCTCTCCTGCCCTTTTCCAAACCCCCCTGCCTTCCAGTTCCTACCCCGTTTCTCCTTGAAATGAGCAAGGTGACCAAACTGCAAGGGACGTTTGACAAAGTTGTATGCCGCTTGGTCTGTAGCACGCTCCCGATTCGGGAAGCGATCAGACACACCCCCTTCACAGCCTGAACTTCCTGTGATTGTTCTGTACTTCCTGTTGTTCCAGGAACACTCTGACAGCACAAACATGGAGTCCTAGACATGACCAGACAGTACGGCATTGGATACGCTTAAAGAACAGTAAATCCAAAGCCTCAGTCTTATGGATGTCAAATGCCACCACGTTTCCAAATCTTTGGGGTTTTGCTCAGATTTTAAAGCTAAGCCGGAATTTTTTCCTCCTTCGTTTTGCAATTTTTAAACCCAAATCCCACAGTAAGGCCCAGAATCCCTTCCGGCGCAGACGCTAAAGAAGCGATTAATCCGAACATCTTCGGTGTCTAGAACCACCCTGAGGCTTCAGGGCAAAACACAAATCACAGGGTCCAGTGGGCCTTCCTCAGCCAAATTTAAGCAGAGCAGACTGCAGATGCCGTTTGGTGGATCAGGGACCAAGAGATGCGCATTCTGCCACCAACCCATCAATCCTATACTATCCTACACCCAGCAATGTACATTCTGCAGCTATGATTTCTTTTTCCATGCCGCACCGTTCCATGCCAGGCCAGGCCAGTCCATGCGGTGCCATTCCAAGCTATGTCGTTCCATTTCTAGTCAGGCCAGGTCAAACAGTGCTAGACCAGGCTGAGGTAGCACAATGCAAACTAAGGGGGACCCATGCTGTACAAGACTGTCTGTGACAGTCTTCACCCCGGATGGGCCTCCCCCCTTACAGGCTGGCTGTGCTGCAAGGGCATCTGCTCCCCTCGTCAGTTTACAAGCAGGGAAATCTAAATAACATGTCATATTATAAAAGATTTAAGGGACACAGGATGATGTGGAGGTGGGGAGGGACGTGGAAAAGTCATCAGGGCCATGGGTCCTCGTAAGCGGGCGGAGCACGGCAGGGTCACCTGCATGTCTTGTGTGTCATGCCCCCCTCCCCTCGGAAAATGTAAAGATTTTCATTTCCTCCTGCTGCTCCTTTGCTCCTTTTTGTTATATATATATATATATATATATATATATATATATATATATATATATATATATATATATATATATATATATATTATAAATTATTATATATATTATATTTTCAAACAAATGGGGAAGAAATCAATCAGGGTGCACCCCCCCGCCGACTGGTCTGCCACGTTCCACCAGCCCGCTCTGGAACGCGTGAAGCCGCCAGCGCTGCTTGCCAGCCGTCTCTCCGCAGACGGAGCCCTGCGGTCAGATGGGATTTCGGGGGCCACCCTCCTCGCTTCGGCCCCCAGGCCAGATGAGGTTTGAACCCAGTCCTGTTTCCCTGCAAAAAGCCCCCAAATTTATCCCCTCAGAACTGTGGCACTTGATGGCCAAAAAACTGCCTGGCAAAAGCAATTAAGTAACACCCCAACCCCCCCCCCCCCCCCTTCAACACCAGATCCTCCAAAATGGATGTTCTATGTTCATCTCCTGCCCACCAACCTACAGGGAAAAAGAGTCTGTCCACCAAGTACCACAAAGGTTTGGGCCTTTGGGGGTGAAGGCCAAAAAAAGCCCAAAGTGGTTCACGCCATTTGGGTCGTTGAGTGAGGGGGGTTTTCACAAGCACCAGTGGTAACAAGCAAGGCTTGGAGCGAGCCATTGGTCTAGGATGTCCTGAAGTCCAGTTCATTTGTCTGATCGCACATCGTTACTCGGCCCGATTGGGACCCCAGTTTGAGAACAGAAAATCCAGCGGATTGCGTGGCGAAAGCAGGATAACAAGGCTTTGGACATGACACGCGTGTCGGGCCATGTCGAGCGTCTCTACAGCTGACAGGGACAAAAACGTAATGCGACTTTTAAAAATTCATTTTGCGACATCGCAAGGGTTTGCATTAGTGCAGTTTGATGAGAGTAATAACCCCAAACTTGTCCGTTTGTGATCATAGAAAATTCCAGTCTTCTTCTTTTACTTTCCAAAGCCGGCAGAACAAAATAATCTGACCAGTGGAGCAACCAGCGGGACTTGGAGCCAGGAACTCGTATCACATCCCCCTAACACCGTTGCTCCATGACGTTTAAATCTGATTGATTATGTGCGAGGAGAGGAACCTCTGGACCATGCAACTTAGAGTGCAAACTACATTTCATTTACAATAACAAACACCTGCCAATACTACCCCTCCACTCGAGACGCATACAATTTGTGATCTTAATAGCAAAATAAAACACACCAGGAGTGGGTGGGTTGGTGGGGGGGAAGCTTTGGATGGGATTCACCCCCCCCCCCAGGGTGCTGAAGGAGAGACACAATTTGACTGTATATCTATCAAGCCATTATTAAGAGCAGAATGCAGGGCTGTCATCCAGGATGAGAAACACCTCTCCTCATACCCCCTGCCTGGACAATATTTCAAAGGCTGTTCAGTGGACAAGATTCAGGCGCAAGGTGAGCCCTGAGAATAAATAATTAACCAAATAAAAATGTAAGAATGGAGCCTGGGGTTGCTCTCCATGTCAGGCAGCCCACTTTCTGTATGGTTTAACTTATACTCTGAAATCAGCCGGGAGACAAGAAAGTCAACTAGACAAACGAGGAGATAAATGATTTATTCATGGGGAAATAAAATTTAAGAAATAAATTCTCAGCCTGAAGTCTTGGACGTTGGGACTTCAGTGTGCGAGGTGGAAAAGAGGTTAATCCCCAGAGCCAAACACACAACCCCAAGGATTTATCTTCCACCTTCGCCTGGCCGTCTGCCTTCAGCCACGCTCCTGGAACATTGAGTGAGGTCCCGCAAAAGCTACATTCCGGGCCATTCCATCTCCTAGGAGCACTTTCCCCAACATGAGAAAGGGACGGCTGAGACAAAGTCCTTCTCTACTTCAGTGCATGTAATATCTGGGATGACACAAATTTCTTCTTAGGAATGTATGATTTCCTTACTGTGAAAGCAAATTGATATTTTTTGTGAAGTTTTAAATATTAGGCCACAAAAAGGTTCCAACCGAAGATTCCGACATACACGCACAAAAAATGTTCCAACCGAAGATTCCGACATACACACACAAAAAAAAGATTCCAACCGAAGATTCCGACATACACACACAAAAAAAAGGTTACAACCCAAGATTCCGACATACACACACAAAAAAAAGGTTCCAACCCAAGATTCCGACATACACACACACACAAAAAGGTTCCAGCCCAACATTCCAACATACACACACACAAAAAGGTTCCAGCCCAACATTCCGACATACACATACAAAAAGGTTCCAGCCCAACATTCCAACATACACACAAAAAAGTTCCAACCTGAGAATCCGAGATACAAAGGTTCCGAGCCAACATTCCAACATACGAATACACAAAATTGTAAAAAGGTTCCAACCTGAGATTGACATACACAAAAAGGTTCCAACCACAGATTCCACCATACACAAAGGTTCCAACCACAGATTCCAACATACACAAAGGTTCCAACCACAGATTCCAACATACACACAAAAAGGTTCCAACCTGAGATTCCCACATATATACAAAAAGGTTCCAACCCGAGATTTCCCCACACACATACACACAAAAAATGTTCCAACCCAACATTCCAACATACACACAAAGGTTCCAACCCAACATTCCGACTTCCTTGAAAGTACTGATCCGACAGTCCTACATACACGTAAAAGTTCCAATACATGCATAAAGGTTCTAACCCAACATTCTGACACATGAAGATTCTGACCCAACGTCCTAATATGCTTGAAGATTCTGACCCAACATTATAGCACACATGAAGATTCTGACCTGCTTGCTTGTTCATACCTCTGGCTATAATGTTATTGCTGCAGAATGTCTTCTCCCCAATCCCACCCCAGAATGGGGAAGCGGTCAATTTAAACATTGGAATTTAAAATAAAAGTTTAAATCAGCAACGAAAATGATGAGAGACAAATCTGTGTATCAGCATTGTCCAGAAATCCAGATTTTACCAAAAAAAACAGAGAAAACTAGCGGTTGAATATATCCCGAGGTCAATGAAGGCACAAGTACGGCAACTGGTCTTTGACTGTCGGGGGTGATTACCAACTCAGAAGCAGCTGGGCCACAGCGCAGAGTTTTTGGCTTTTGGAATATTGAGAATTCATATTGAGAACCCTTGATGGTTGGGGGCTCTGGTCCAGGGCCCCTGAAGTCGGCCACAGGGATTCAAAGTCTCTCTGATGATGACGGGCAGGTCAAGCCTTTCAAAAGATATTTATTCTTCATTGTGCAGCCAGCAGTGAGCACATCCAGGCAGGAACGCGCCCGCGCAACTTCAAAGGGGTCCTGGCACGGCCGCCGAGACGGCGGGGCCCTCGACCGGAGCCCAGCCGCGCGCACGCCTGCAGCGTACCTGCTCACGTTTCGTCCCGACGGTTAAGGTCTATATTCTCGTGCCCAGCTTGGCGCAAATACGGCAAAGGGCTCAGGTCACAGAGCATTCCGTAAGCAAGGACCTGTCAGTGGGCGATTTTACTGTGGAAGAAACCTGGGAGGGGTATCAGCGGTGGGGGATGTTTAAGGAGAAATACACAGGGAGGCGAGTCTGTGGGGGGGGGTGCAGGCAGCTAAGGTTACGAGTGAAAGCCAGGTCACATAGGAGGATCCAGGCCCAAATTGGAGGGGACTCGCATAGATAGAAACAGCAAGAAAGGACCAAGATGGTGGCCTGGAGCTGCAGAACACCCCCACCATGGTTAACAGACAGCAGCACACTGCATCACAGCACTCTCCTTCTCCTAACAGGGACACAGACCGAGGAATACCGTCCACTCTCATTTTCGGAATGCCGTGCCACCGAACCGGAGCCATGGAAAGAGCCGACTCTTACATGTTTCTAATTGTACAGGATTATCCGATATTTTAGTGCCTCGTCCTGGAAATGACAGGCGTGGGCTCCAGCCCAGCACTCCGAAGTCGCCTTCCTGCGAGGAGGCATCGCCGTCGGGAAAGGCGGCCCACTTAGGACGGGGGCGTACTTCGGATTAGCGCACAGGAGGATATCATTATCCCTTCAGAAATATATAAATAAATCACATTCCTTCGCTCTCTTTTTTTTTTTCCCCCTTCCCGGTTTGCAGAAACCAAGTGGAAATTTTCGTTCTGATGTAACTGGAAAAAGGGACATTTTCCAGTGGCAACATATCCTGCCACTACAGTTACTGTGTTCCTGCAAGCCGTGCGGCCGGATGCTGGGACGGGAAGAAACGGCTGGAAATCGGCAGAGCGCTCCCGTCGTGCGAGCGCCGTGACTCCCAAATGCTTAGCATTCCTTGACATGGAGACGGAAAAACTTACCGGCACCGGGGAAATTTAACACCCTCCATTCTTGTCATTTTGCTCATAGCTGCACGAGTGCCTGCGAAAGCCATGGAACTAACTGAGCGATAAACAAGATCATCATCGCCCCCGGGAACACAGCACTGTCTGGACACACGTGCGCGCGCACACGTGTGTACACACACACACACACACACACACACACACACACACACACACACACACACACACACACACACACACACCAGTGAGTTAGTCTGCTAAAAAGGTTCCCCCCCCCCCAAGATTTCCTCCTAGACCCTTCCAGTGCCCCCTCCAGCCCCCACAAATGACAGACGACATTTCATCTAATCTTTTACAGTCCCGCTGTAGCATTAAAACTCCAAAGTCCTGCATGCACCATGCCGCCTCCCCATGACAACATACAAGACTTTTATAATGGGGGTGCTGAACCCCATCTGTGTCAATCACTCCCCCCGTCAACCCAACCAAGGGGGCTCTGCCCTCGTCTAAAACCTTAATGCTTAAAACTAACCAAAACAGTTTCTTGTTGCTGGAGGATAGATATACCACCTGTTTCTCCCCAACAGGGGGCACTTGGAGTGGGCCGTGTGACCTCTTAACAAGAGGGGGACACAAACATATGAAGGCACGGGGGGGGGGGAACGTACGCCTAGAAGATGGTGTGTGTGGAGACTCCGTTGACCCAAAGCTGCAGCACTGTGACCTTCATGGTAAAAAACAAGAATCTTTCACTCAACCTGGATCTCTGGACAGTGGATCACAAGACAGTGATTAAAATGCATATGGCACCACACTCAGCGAAGCGGACCTCAGGCACCATTAAACACGGCGCTACCCAAATTTGGCCCCCTCCTGGTATTCCCAGTCATCAAATAAAAACAGTGACAGGAGCAGAAGGAAACAGGATATTGGTTCATAACCCAGATGTGTTCCTTTCCCAGGCGAGCTTACGCTTTTGGACCTTTGCATTGGGCAACACGACTAGGAGGATCTGGGGGTGCCCTCACTCCCATCGTGCCCCAAAGTGCAATCACACTGTTACATCCAATTCACCCCCCCCTCCTCAATTACTCAGGACCACTTGGAAGCAGCCACAGATCACACCTGGGACGCCTAAGAGATCGTCGTACACATGTAAAAACTGGACATGTCAAGTCATTTAAGCTTTCAAACGTAAAGCTCCAGTGAGGAAAAAGATCTTTCTGGAAGAGAGTTCCACCAGTGGGCAAACTGGGCAGTCAGACAGACAGACATCCATCTCAGAGGTTAACAGTCCATACAGAACTGCTTGCGGTATAAAAAGCGAGAAAAAGGAAGGTAGAGCACATGCAGATGCTCACCGTCCCAATGCGTGACAAGGGCCAGCAAAGCTGTGACACCATGCCTCCAAAGCCACTGGCCCGTCCCCCCCCATCCCGATCCAAGAAAGATTTAACACACTTACCATGGGCCACTTCTGTGACCTAGAACTGTATTAAAAGTTCCAAAACTGCAAACAGGATTCATTTATTAGACACTGATTAACAAGTTACTTCTTTTTGAGGAGAGAGATGCCTCTGCAGAGCAGGAACACACTGCAGGTCAGCAGGGCGTAAGAAGCACGTCAGTCCTGCTTACACAGAAAACACCACCATGACACCCATACACTGAAAATATTTTCTTTAATAAACGCATGAGGTTGATGCCAATTTGGGGGGCTCACTGGCATTTGAATCGCACTTAACGGCCTGCAAATTAGGACCCGTTAGGCAAGGGGATAAAACGCTGTCGTGTACCTGCTGCTCTTGGGCTCAAACAACAGCACCCACCCCCCAAAACCACACCCACCCCCCAAAAAGTAACTCCTCCAAAGCTTTAGTGCTTTGCTTCTGTCGCATCAATCCTCTGGCCAACTCACCCCCCCAAAAAAAAACATCACTCCTCCAGAGACACACAATATGAAGAATATCAGTGATTAACCTGACCTTCACTCTGGGATAAACTTTCACCCTCATTCAGTGCATTTATGGGGGTGTGGAAAGGAGAAGGTTCATTAAAATTTCTTAAAATTGTAATCCTGTCACCATGCAGACATGCCCTGTTCTAACATCTTCTATAAGAAATGATTAAGGACAGATGAAAATAAGAAATGGTTGTTGAATAAGAGCGGATTTCGGGGCTGGGCCCGGCAGGGAGTCACGTGTTTTTATTTGGAACGTTCTAGAACGCCAGCAATCGCCACACATAACTATAATGTTAAGTGATGGTCTGGCTTTCCACTTTGTCCACATGAATTTCCGCCACGAACGCGGACTCATTGTCAGCCCCAAAGACGAACTCACTCTTTATCCATCACTTTTTCCCCTGTGCTCCCCCACCCCCCAATCCCAATGCAACAACCCCCCACCCCACCACCCCCCCTTCCTCGCACACACGCACCCTTCAACGTTCCTCATTCTCGAGGTCAGGTTTGGTTAAGGGAGATGGCTTCGGATCCACTTGGACAGAAAGGGGCTTGGGTATAATTGAATCCAATCTTGCCCCCCCGCCCAGCACAAAGCCGAAAAACCCAACATGTTCACCCTACTGACATCTGTGCTGCTGGGGGGGGGGGGGGGCTCCTGGAGTTGGCATGCAAACCTGTAGTGCATGGCAATGAGATACCTTTCAGTGACATACTGTCCACTGGTCGCTCCCCGCCACCCCACCGCAGTCACATGACCCGAACAGTCCCACTGCACCTCACGCCAGTCACATAACCTGAACGGTCTGCTTTATCTATCAAAACTGTCCCTTCACGCATCTCTAAGCCGGTCAGAAATCCATGCTGAGGTGTTACTCAAAGCCGTAAAATGTTCTGTGAAAAAGATCACAAATGGTTTACGCAGATACCTCGAGGCAGACATAGACGCGGCTTAGAAGCCCTGCTCCAAGCTCGACGACCCATATTAAGAGCTTTTCCATTGTAGTTCATAAACAACCCAATATTTAGTGAGGACCCGTGATTCGATTTCGGGCCGTTTGGACAACGTGGTGAATCGCTCATCCTCCCTCGAATCGCTCTCGAAGCGACACAGACAGGGTGGCGACTGCGTGTTATTCCCTTAAACACCAAGACTGAAACATGGCGGGATTGGCTTGGAGTGCTGGGCGGTAACCAGCATGGAGAGCTTAGCAACTGCACAGAACTGCGAGGGGAATGTAGCAGCGAGCGATAACGAGCAGGTCAAAGGGCGAAGAAGTGGATTGTGGCAGTTTGGTCAAGGGCAGAGAATCTCGCAGCTGCTTGTGGTGTGTGTGTGGGACTATGGCTGGTGCCATTTTGGCTGTGATATTAAATTCTCATCTGGTCCCTGGGGTGTTAGGTAGCAACAATGCAGTGATACACTGTTCCTGTGATGGCGCCCACACCTGTGTCATTTCCGGAGCTGGTGGACAGGGCCGGCATGGTTCCGGTCTGAGGTGTGCAGCACAGCAGGCGGATGCAGCGTCACACGGCCACGACGCAGTGATCGGACAAGCCGGCACCTCTGCACCGCGGGGGATCAGGCGTCTCCGTGGCGACTTATGCCATCAACAGCAGCTGCCTGTAAACGGAGGAGGAGGAAGAAACTGTAAAAACATGGATGGAGAACAACTGTTTGAGATGGACTCAACTTCAAGAAAAACAGCAGCACAGATTTTTTTTTTTTCGAATGTACCCGAAAGCCTTAAATGTCAGGATACCATTAATAAACTTTACTTTCGAACTTCTGAACAGACCAGGTAAAACTTCATAAAAAGTGCCATTTGAGGGAGTTGTTACAATAAGGGGTGGGTACTGGGGCAGAGGATCTGCCAGGCCTGCTCAGCGTCCAAAGACCAGCAGTATATTGCAGACTTTCTTAGTTTGTCTGACATCAGAAATACTACAAAAAAACCTATTTCATAAAAGGACGACCAATGGTAGCAAGAAGAAAAAAAAATCACATAAAATATAAAAGAATTGGTAAAAAAAAAATAAAATCAAGTCCATCCCGCATTATACTGATAACAGGTCAGTGTGTATCTGAAAAAACAGGGTGACGTGACCAAGAGCATCCTGACTGCTGACCCCCTCTGCGCAGCATGAAGTTCAGGGCAATATAACACGGGGTGGGTGGGTGTGTGTGTGTGTGTGTGGGGGGGGGGGGGGGCTCATGTGCTGCAGATAATTGAAAGGAGATTTCCAGAGCAGGACGGTGATGTCCAACACAAGAGCTGGCCTCCAACGCCGTTTCCAGACAGAGAAAGGAGCTGGATGTGGAAGCAGATGTATCAGTGCAGAATGGGAAAAATATACCTATGCATACACACACACACACACACACACACACACACACACACACACGCACACACACACACACACGCAGTAAAACGGACTGGGGCGACGAACACATCAGAGATGTGACCTTTAAACCATGAATTTCAGTTGAACTCAGCAGGTGGTGCTACCGTGCTCGGGTTCCGCAGAGGCCCACCCCCCCCCCTCCCCACAGAGCCGGCCGGCGGCTGTGATAGGGGAGCGTTTACAGGCCCACTGCAAGCCAAGAACAATACGGAGAGCATTTACCCAGCATGCACTGCGGCGAGCTGCCGCTCAGCGCCGCGTGCAAAACACCACAATGCCTCTCAGTGCGCATTTCCACTCCGTGAAAGAAAAAGCCCCCAATTTCCCACAGAGAAAACACACGACAGAAAATGAATCACAGAGATGTCTTCACAGCATTCCCAGTGCCTCCTGTGGTCAGTGAGTCCTGAGTGGACTTGGCTCCGCTCATTGATGGTTCCCAGTACACAGTGTTTTGTGGCTGCGAGATTCCACCTTAGCCATATGCTCTGACACCCCCCACCCCCCCCAGCAGACGTGTTCATTAAACCACCCCCAGCATCAAAACCCCCGCGACCGATCAAAGTCCCAAACCTGCCTCCGCTCCTCAACGAAATGTGGACGACTTTAAAACATTAAAATTCAGCCACACTCCAGATTTATCTGTTTTAAAGGAATATTAGTTACTTGTATAGGCTTGTATGACGGTTGTGTCGGGCCGCTGCTACATCCTGGGAACAGGTGCAGGCTGAGTGTAAACAGCACCACAGCGCCCCCATATGAGCAGGTGACGTGGTATGCTGCCCCCTGGCTGCCAGACAAATGTTAGCACTCCGGGGATAAAGTGTCAGACAGGCCAATCAGAATGAAGGATCAGAGAAGGATATCAGAAAGATAAATGAATAAGTGGTTCAGTCAGAAGGTAGAAGGCGCCACAGAGAAGGTGGAAACACAGAGACAGGACCTGCAGGCTGCACATCTGCTTAAAGCGTTCAGGAATCTGGGGATGATTATACACAAGTGAGGCGTAAACACACGCACATGCACGCCACAGCAAAGCACGCTCTCAGTGGGCAGAGGTGGGGGGGGGGGGGCTTTTGCCACAACGATCACAGGATTGGACCCGATGGCAAGCCGTCCAGGAGGGACTGTTGGATGGCTCCGGAATCATCTCCGTCTCTGGCCTATCTTTTTCCGTCCTGAGCTTACGGGGGCCGCGAAGCGTGCCGCAGGATCAAGCGTGACAGGGATGTTTACGACTCTCAAAAGGCCTGTAAGAGTCAGCCCTGGAGGGGAGCTGTTGGGAGGGAGAGGGTCATCATTCTCATGATCCATCTTTCTTCTTATATCATGGTGTCTCAAGTGGGGCAGAGTAAAAAGGGGGGAAAAATGACTGAAATGAAAAGAATGCTCAAGTTTCCACCGGGTCCATGTCACTCAGACTCTCGTGGCGATGGCTCCACCTAGTGGACAGGCGCGACATTGCGGTCAAACGCCCTTCCCCCAAGTCAGGCCCATGCGTCGCAGGGTAAGGCCTGCGGAGACAAACGGTTTCTTCATTCTGGCCAGTTAAAGACAAACAGCTGGAAAAGGCAGGACTGCATTAGGGGGGAGGAGGTGGCAACAAAAGCAATTATATTTTCCCCCAGTTTCAAGTTAGGCCAGCCGCACATGGGCAGACCATGCTGGTCATGTATAAAGAAGTCCCACTGCCCCCTCAGAAAAACCAGCAAGAGCCTGCCCAAGCAAAAACAGAATAAATTAGTACCTTAGACAGCTGGCCTTAGGAGCAGGGCAATCAGCGACTGTCAGAGGGAAAATGAAGGGTCAAGCTGCACAAGGAGTGAGGAAAAAAGGTGGGTGGCCGACTGATAAGGGAGGCGGGGCTTCCACACCTTAGGTGGCCGACTCTGATAAGGGAGGCGGGGCTTCCACACCTTAGGTGGCCGACTCTGATAAGGGAGGCGGGGCTTCCACACCTTAGGTGGCCGACTCTGATAAGGGAGGCGGGGCTTCCACACCTTAGGTGTACCTGGGAATGATCTGTAAAAACCCAACAGCAGCAGTAGAGCTCAGGGCTTCATTATTATTTTTGATCATAAATCATAAAGTTGCTTCACTGACTATGCAGCTGTATTAGCTGGGAGGGGAGGGTTGAACTATGGTGCTGTAGTTACACAGCATAAAAATTGAAAAATCAATCACAAATCACAGAGTGATGGTCACTAATTGAGTCAATGTGGCTGAGTAAAATGTAAAAAGTGGTACTCTATGCTGTCCTACTTTAGCTATGCTCAAATTTAAAGGTGTAGCAGCACACACCTGGACACCAATTCACGGAAACAAGTCTAGTGCTTGTACACACTGCCACCTGGTGGACAATGTGCATGTGCACAACTAACATGGTTAAACAGAACCAATAGACGCCCACACTTATTTCCGCATTTCACAGCAGTCAAAGAGCGGCCCAGGTGCCAGGACACAGGGATGTCACGCCTTAAGTAGGCTGTGCGGCCTGAAGGGCAGCAGCAGCCCATGTTCACACATGCACGCTGCCACCATAAAGCTCATGTGGCGACAGCCAATAAAAAGCCCCGGCCAGATATTCACGCTGCAGCGCTGGCAGCACCCTGGAACTGGGTCAAGTCTGAGAGTCAGGGAGTCATGTGACATGGAAAGGGGGGTGGGGCATTCACGAGAGCTAGATGTGGCCCCTGAAGCCCTTGCATGAGATGTTCATCATCATCATCATCATCACTCCCATCATCCTCTGCTTGATTTTGCACCCAAACATTTCCCCCCTCGACACTGTGATGACACGCCTTGAGGTGGACCAATAAGACGGCGGCTGAGTTATGGCACGCCCTTGACAGCCCATCATGCTCCAGAGTGCATTTACATGCCTGCAAGACCAGGCCTCCAGTCGCTGCTCCCGGTGGCCAGTAATGAGAAGAGCGGCCACCTACAAGACACTCCCAACAGACCCGTCATTAGCTCTGTGTTTGACACGTGCCTTCCCCCTTTTATGGCACATAGTCCCAGGAATGCCCCCTGATGCATTCTGATTTGCGTTAATTAATCACACAAATGTGCAATCAGAGGGCATAAACGTCAGATCCAGGGTGGGAAACTGTCAGATCGCTAAGCCAATTCCGATAGCTCTGGCGGCAGAGCTTATGGAAAACATAGTATTGAATAAAAGGCTTCTTTCGTGCCACCTCCACCCTCCCCTTGCCCCCACCCCTCTTGCTGGTTGCCAAAAAAAAAAACCACCCCACCATCTTGGCACACCACCACAACTGACGGATTACGGGCTGTTTACGTGGCTATGCCAGAAGCCTGCTGTTAGAACTTGTTAAGCGACACAGGACTCGCTGCTCCTAAATAAATCTGCGGGTCTGCTTTTGGATTTGCTCCCTGAGCCCAACACGAGCACGGGAGGCACCAGACCCCTCCACATCGGGCCCCGGAGCAAAAGGCAGGGGGACCACAGGATCCCCAAGGGTTGTACAGTATAACGTCTAACGACACTGATCACAGCACTCTGATGTCTAAGAATGATCTGAGAAAGGGGCGTGGCTTGACAACTCGACAGGTATTAGTGGGAAAAGAAATCAGGGAGGTAGGGTGGTGGACATTCCCAGATGAGAAAGGAGGACCCAAAGAGGCGTCACTGCGGTGATACACCTTCACGTTGGAGACTGCAGCCCAAAAAGGCATCATTGTGGTGATACACCTTCAGGTCAATTACCTCATTGCAGACCTCACCATTCCCTGGGAGCAAAGGCATTCTTTCATTTACATTTCACATACTTTGCAGATGCTTTTATTCAAAGTCATGTACATTTTTTAAGAAAGCAGGGTCAGAAAGTACCTGGAGCAATTGGGAGTTAAGGGCCTTGCCAATGGTGAGATCACCCTGCTGACCCTGGGACCAACGACCTTCCGATCACAGGCACAGCGTCAAGACCAGTGTAGCCACACACCATCGGAATTTGCGTAAAAGGATCAATTACACGCACAAATCATCCATCCATCCATCTTCTAAAAGCATATTCTTATCAGATTCATAGAGGATCTGGGGATTATTCCACGCAGCACAAGGCACAAGACTGGGGATCACACTGGATGAGATGCCTCAGCTCCGCATTAAATAAATGATTACTGCAAATTCTAGAACAGGGAACTGGACATGCAGCATCATGCTACCAGAAGCCCTGCTGACCTACAGTGATACGT